CTCTGTTTTCTCATTTGTAAGATGGAGATAATAGTGTTTACTCACTAGGGAAGGAGCCTTGGTGGTAGTGGTTTAACACTTGGCTGCTAACTGAAAGGTTGGCACTTCAAACCCACCCAGTGACTCCTGAGGGAAAAGACCTGTGAATCTGCTTTTGTGAAGATTACAGCCTAGAAGCTCTGGTAGCGTAGTGCCTAAGGCACATGACTGCTAACCAGAAGGCTCGTGGTAGTGATACTGCTTTGGAAACCCAAGGAGGGGTCGCAATGAGTCAGATCCAACTCCACAGCACATAAGAACAAGAAGTTAGAAAACCCTATGAGACTGGGGCTGCTATGAGTTGTAAGTCTACTCAAGAGCAGCGAACAACCACCACCCTATAGGGTTGTAAATTACAGGAGTGAATTGGGGTAATTCAGCACATTGGCACAAAGCCAGGGGTGAAAGACGTTAGCTATGATTATTACGCATTTTATTACGTGCCAAGCCCGAAACTCAGGGCTTCGTGTGCATTTTCTGGTTTATTTCTCAACACAGCCCTTGAGGGGTGGTACTATTCTCAGTCCCATCCTATAGATGGGGAAACAGAGGCACAGAGAGGTGATGGAACTTGCTCAAGGTGATGCAGCCGATAAGGGATTCGACCAGGTCTGTTTGGCTCCCACGAATGCTCTTGATATTCCTGTACTGTACTATTGTGTATCCAAAACATTAACCTCTATCCGACTTCCAGTGTTCTCTCTTCTCTGTTATTGCCTCCCACCTTTAGAACATTGCTGCCTTGTTTTCTCCACCAGCTTTCCAAGGATCCTGGTGCTAGCACCATGCAAACAAGCCCAGAGTCGTCTACTGGTGTATGAGACATCCGTGGAGCAGAGATGAAGACAGCTAGGGTCATCCTAGTCCCGCCAGCTACCAGTCAGCCCACGAGCTGATCAATTACATGGGTGAGCTCAGCTAGCACAGAACAACCACCCAGCTGAGCCCAGCCCTACTTGATGGGCCACAGAACTGTGAACCAAGGAAATAATTCCTGTTTAAGGATGCTAAGTGTTGGGGTAAATTTCTTAATGCAGAAGCAGTGAATTGGTTCACATTAGCTCGTCCTCATGCCAAAAACAATAGTAACTAGCATACATTATATACCAAGCACTGCGTTAAGTCATTTATACACATCAGTCAACAAAAAAAAAATCTTCCAGTGTGAGTATTGTTACTGTTGTCATTTTCAGATAAGGAACCTGAGGCTCAGAGAGGTTACGTGACTTCCCCAAGGCCACCAGCTAGTAATGGGAGGAATGTGTATTCACATTCAACTCTGTCTGAGTCCTCTTCCCCGTGACCAAAAGTTCTCCCCAGTTACCTTAACAAACTCCTAGAGGAGCTAAGCATTAAAGAGCAAAAGCTAAATTTGCACTGACCTTTTCCCAGAGGAGGTGGATTGGCTCCGCGTATACCTGGGGGAGGCCCTGGGGTTTGGGGAGTGGGAGGAGTGGCTGGAGGAGCGGCTGCTGATATAGGAAGAGCTGCGGGAGCACCTTCCTGTGGGGGAGCTCCGGGCTGTGGATGGGACCAGACTGGACTTCTTCACCTCGGAGTATTCCAGGCACGGGGATTGGAAGCCTCTGTGGAGGGAGAAGGTCGGTTAGCACTGGCCTGCCTGCTGGTCTGGGAGCATCTGGAGCTAGTCCTCAGGTCCAAACCTGTGCCTAGGCTGTGATGCCCTTCCAGAGAACCCTGTGTCCACCTTTTTTCATCCAACTTCTTCTGGAAAAACTTCTTAGCCCATATATGTGAGAGGAGTAGAGACAGATAAGACCTTACGAATAGACTGTCCAATGTTTCAGAGTGTGGGGTGCAGCCCCAGGTGGGGATGGGCATGCCATTAGATCACCTCAAGTCATGTGGTAAGAAATAGGCCCTTTCAAGTCTTTTTCTATCCTGATGACATTAATGAGAAAGCCTTGGTTGGGTGCTGTTGTGTGTCATGGAGTCGATTTGACTGATAGCGATCCCATAGGACAGCAGGACTAAGCAGACTGCTGGCCCTTTCTTCCGCAGAGCTGCTGGGTAGGTTTGAATGCTTAACCATTGCGCCAACAGGCTCTCATCCCAAAGACAGAGAGTGTGTGTGCAAGAGCACAGGCTTCAGGCCTGGAGCCTTGGGCAGGCAACGGTAACTAGAATGAAATACATTGTTTTAATGTGTCTTCTATTTTGGACAACTGATAGTGCTATAAATTTCCTTTAAATGTATTTATATAAGAAGTTAATTTATTTAAGTAAGTAGGAGTACCATAGTGGATAAGGCATTTGGCTGCCAACCAGAAGGTCAGCAGTTCAAACCCACCAGCTGCTCTGCAGAAGGAGGTTGGGCATCTACTTCTGTCAAAATTGACAGACTTGGAAACCCAATGGGGGGTCGCTATCAGTTGGAATGGACTCAGTGGCAGTGAGTTTAGTTTGTTTTTTGAGGAGCGCCGTAAGTACAATGGATATGTGAAGATCATGAAGGTGTCATGTAGTTGGTTTAAGTCTGGGAAATTTTGGTGTAGCCCATTTGGCAGATGGGACAGCTGAGACCCAAAGAAAGGTGAAGGCTTATTCAAAATCACCCAAATAGTAAGGGCCACCTGTCTTCTCTATTCCCACTCTGTTTAGGGTCATGCTAGGCTCCGGTGGGGTTCTGAGTAAGGACGTATTCATTTGAATCGAGCCAAGGCTCAACTTCAAATCCAGTTAATACATTTCTCAAGGTCTTTTATGACCCGACCCCTGCCCACCCCTTGTCTCAGCTCTCGCCACTCTCCTGCCCTGACTGCAGCCATACCAGGCTTCTTGTTCCTCCTGGAGTCTCTTCTCTCCTTTGTCTCTCAGACAGGCCATTCCTACTGCTGGAACACTCTTCCCTCCCTGTTCACCTGACCTCCCACTCATGCTTCAGGCTGTAGTTAGACTTTCTCTCCTGGGAGCCTTCTCTGATGCCCCTCTACGTCTGGCTTGTGTGACCTCGGATGTAAGACCTCAGCCCTTAGCTCCTGTGCTACTCTTCTTCCACCAGAGACTGAGCTCCTCGGGAACGAGACTCTTGTCTCCCCAGCACTGTATCCCAGGACCTAGCACAGGGCCTGATGAGGGAAGCAGCCTGCTACATTATTCTCCTGCAGAGCAGCTGGTGGGTACGAACCACCTACCTTTCGGTTAGAAGCCAAGTGCTTCACCTCTCTGCCACCAGGGCTCCTTACGTGTATACTAAAAAACTCACTGCCGTCGAGCCAGATCCGACTGACAGCAACCCCTTCTTGGGTTTCCGAGGCAGTATCACTACAGAAGTAGATTGCCCAGTCTTTCTTCCGAGGGGTGGCTGGTGGGTTTGAACCACCAGCCTTCTCGTTAGCAGTCAGATGCCTTAGACACTACGCCACTAGGACCTCAATACATAGTTGTGGAATAAACTCTTTGAACCTCTTCACTGTCCTGGGCACGTGAGAAGCATCATCTTACTGAATGGCCCCCACAAGCTCCTGAAGCTGGTAGTACTGGTATCCCCACTTTATTGAGAAGACAAAGGTTAGCACTTGTTCAGAGCCACCTAGAGTCCCAAACTCTGTCCAACTCCAAAACATACGCCCCTGCCATCACACCAGCTCCTCCACCGTTAGCCTGTGTGCTGCTCCTGATTGTGAGTTGACACCTCTTCCACTGAGCCCATGTTTATTGACCCGTCTGCTCTTGGCTGGTAAACATCCATGGATTTAATGATCACTTACATTTCAAAAGTGAAAAGCTAAGTCCAAATGATTTAATTTGGCCGTCCACACAGGTCCAATCAGCCAGGTAAAGCTACATGGCCCTCAGGTTTCCCCTCTAGTTCTGGACACAGATCGGCATTTGAATCCTGCCGCTCCCACTTAGTGACTGCATTTCTGGACCACTCTGAGCCTCTGGTGGTTTCCCTGCCAGTCAAACAGGGTTATGGTAGCACCTATCCCATAAGATTTTATGGGGAATTAGGGAGATCGTGCATGGAAATCACTTGCCATATCACCTAGCCTGTAGTTGTTGTTATGTGCCCTCGAGTCGGATGCGACTCATAGCAACCCCTCCTTGGGTTTCCAAGGCAGTATCACTATGAAAGTAGATTGCCCAACCTTCCTTCTGAGAAGTGGCTGGTGGGTTTGAACTGCCAGCCTTCTGGTTAGCAGTCAAGTGCCTTAGGCACTACGCTACCAGAGCTCCTTTGTTGTTGTTGTTGTTGTTACTGTTATGTACCGTCGAGTCGGCCCCAACACCAGAGCTCCTTAAGGAGGAATAAATTAGTTGCCATTATGATCATGGGGGAGGGTGGTGGCTCAGAGGTACAGTTTTCCCCTTCGTGTGGGAGACCTGACTGTGAGTCCTGGCCAGTGCATGTCCATGCTGCCCCTAGTCATCTGTTGTGGAGGCTCACATATTGCTTTGATGCTGAACAGGTTTCAACAGCTTCCAGACTAAGACAGACTAGGAAGTAAGGCCTGGAGATCTGCTTCTGAATATTAGCCAGTGAAAACCTGGTGGGTAGCAATAGTCTTATCTGCAGCCGATCATGGGGCTGGTGCAGGAGCAGGCAATGCTTTCTCTTGTGCATGGAGTTGCCATGAGGTGTGGGCTAACTGACCATTATTATCATGGATATTATTGCTCTGCTTGCTTTTTCCTGCCTACCAACTCTGCAGTATATCAGTAGACACGTGTCATTCCTTACCACCCCCCTCCCTAGCTGGAGACACTGACATGTCCTCTGCCCCAACCTGGCTCCCAGACAAGCCAGACTGTGAGCTGAGGCCAGGGATGTCCCGGAGCAGACAAACCAGAGGCCAAGTCTGCATGTGGATGCCAAGCTGCTAGCTAGTCTAGGACTCAAGTAGGCTATGTGTTGGGGACAAAGGGTGGCTTGTCCTTGAGGAACCTGTTAACTGCTTCAGTGCCACGGCTTTGGCCATCTTTCCTAAGTCCACTGAACAGAGGCAGACCCCTACCCCAAGAGGAAGGGAGATCCCACTGCTAGCACAGTAGATTTCATCAGCAAACCTCTTCCCACCCCACCTGCGTCTCTGCACCTGCCTCATCATGCTCAGGAATGGGACCATGCCATTTTTCTAGCTCCAGCCCCAAGCCCAGTGCCTGGGACATGGGAGGTACTTGAAAATAGGTTGGGGGTGAACCAGCTGAATGAATGGTATAGAGTAAGCAGTCAGTCCATTTTAGTGGCTGTTACTGTGACATTATTCCTGGTGATTCGTGTTTTGCTATTATTTCTTGAGTGTTAGAGTAAGTGGGGGAGGAACTGGTGGAACGTAGCCAGCCCATGGGCCTTCTGCAGGCAACTGCTGTCTATAAAGTGTATGCAGACAGGCAAGTGAGTTGGGAAGTCTAAATGTTCCGGCAGCCTGATCCTCCCTTACCTAAAATTGTCCTCTGGTATATACTTAAATGACAGTGACTTAAAAAAATCAGTGTAATGAGAAACTATATCCTGTGGTTATTGGAAAAACTAACATCTGTTTTTTGCCCACCTGCCTCCTCTCCTCTTCCTGATGGCAGCATCCGGGTTTTTCCTTCAGGGAACCACCTCTCACCCAATTCTGGTTTAAGTGGGAAGACCCTACTCTTTAGCCCCAGAGGCAGCATGTGACAGATGCTGACTAATGAAAGCGCGACATCCCCCAGGCCAGCGGGTTTGGTCC